CAGCGGAATGACCACTGCCCCTTTTAGCGAAGCATAGACACCAAGTGATAAAGAATTCAATTCTGACAAAATGAATTATACACTTTGTAAGGAGAATACAGTATCAACAAATGACTTTATTGTAAACACATTTCATAACTTGCATATTTCATCGTCAGCCATAGCTATTTATATATCAATTTGTAAACTACGCCAAGGGTGAATCAAATATATCATACATAATTACAGAAATACAAGTTTTCGGACAGATTGCATTAAGCACAACTATTGAAAGCTTGTCAGACTTTGTGGTAATTTGGTGAATCCCACCCAGGATTGGGCAAGGTGGCGATAGGAGAATGCACTTCATTCAGCAATATTTTCATTGACATTTGAAAATGGATGTCAAGACATCAAGTTCGACAAACACTAAAACAGCATTTATTCACCTACATAAAAGTTTTCAGATGATGTATTGGTTAATATATAGTAGCATGCAAGGTAATGTCAGAATTCATTTTAACACATTTGTCCCGTTACTAGCTTTATTGAAATACAATGAGCTATCCAACCACTATATGCAGCAAATACACAAAGATTTGTTTCTGTTTTAACAAGATACGTGTGATTAATCTTGCTTTACTTCAACAATTGAAAAAAAAATACAAATTAAGAATTTACGACTTATACAAATTAAGTAATATATATGCATAGAATTAAATAATAAAAAAAAATAATCAATTTTCACTGAATACCTTAGTATCAAGTTTCAGGAAATTCATTAATACTTCTACAAATACATCTGCAAACACTAAAACATATGCACAAACTGTAATTAACCAAAACTTGCACATATATTTGATATGCACATTATCCTGTCTACTTACCAAGGTTAATTAAAAGGGGGATTGACAGACATAAATGCATACACACAGACAGAGTAAACTCAAAGACCTCTTGTGTTTTTACAAAATAAGCTTAAAATGTAGATACAACATTAGTTCAAAGTTGAACAAACTGATACATTAAGCAGAAATAAAAGGTTGAGCTTGCTGCCTAATTTTGAAACCTTTTCTAACAAGTCAATGACATAGTCCCTGTTCAGTTTTTAGTAACTGTGTTATTTATAAACAATAGATTATAATTGGATGAGTGGAAAGTATTCAGCATGTTTAAAATATGGTATTACTTCCAGGTTTTGTCCAGTCAAAGTGACACCTCTTAGGAATAAAATCATTCTCATATTGTATAAAATGA